GCATGATGAGTCTTCCTGGACCAGGGATCGAACCCCAGCCCCCTGCATTGGCAGGCAGAACCTTTACCACTGTGCTACCAGGGAAGCCCAATACATTGTTATTAATTTTACTCAGCATGCTGTACATTACATCACATGACTTTGAGTCGCTATCAAGAAAAAATAACATGAGGAAAATATATAATTGTTTCAATCAATGGGAAATTGCTTGGATTAATTATGGTGTATCTTCTTGATGGGACACTTGTCAGCTGTGGATGGGTTTGTGCCGAGTTCTCTCTATCAATGCATGCCCAGAATGTACTGATACTGTTTAGTAAAGAGTGGCAGAACGTGGTGAGGTTATCTTTCTTTTTCTGAGTGAGAGAAAGAAAAACATATATGTATACATCTATGGGCTTCACTCATGGCTCAGATGGAAAAGAATCTGCCTGCAATGAGGAAGACCTGGGTTTGATCCCTGGGTTGAGAAGATACCCTGGAGAAGAGAATGGCTACTCACTCTAGTATTCTTGCCTGGGAAAGAGGAGTGGGTGGACTACAGTTTATGGGGTCACAGAGAGTCAGATATGACTGAGGGACTAACACTTTTGACTTATATACATGTAATCATACACATTCATATATACACATGCATTGGTGAGTTTTAAAATAAAAATATATGTGTTAGTTTTGTATGTTAGCATGTGTGTGTCTGTACATTGACATGTATGTATGAATTGAAATTACACATTAAAAACATTTATGAAAAATGAGTACCTGTGAGGAGGAATCATATGTTAAAACAAAGACTTCAGACTCATAAGGAATCCTGAATTGATTCTTATTTTTCAGATTTATATATGTATTTGTGTATATATATGGAGAAGGCAATAGCAACCCACTCCAGTACTCTTGCCTGGAAAATCCCATGGACAGAGGAGATTAGTAGGCTGCCGTCCATGGGGTTGCGGAAAGTCGGACACGACTGAGCGACTTCACTTGCACTTTTCACTTTCATGCACTGGAGAAGGAAATGACAACCCACTCTAGTGTTCTTGCCTGGAGAATCCCAGGGATGGGGGAGCCTGGTAGACTGCCGTCTATGGGGTCGAACAGAGTCGGACACGACTGAAGCGACTTAGCAGCAGCAGCAGCAGTGTGTGTGTGTGTATATATATTTGACTGCATGGGGTCTTAGTTGTGGCATGTGGGACCTAGTTTTCTGATCAGCTATCTAACCTGGGCTACTTCTTAGCTGCTGAACCATCAGGTAAGTCCCTGGATTGAGTCTTGATGGGCTCCCCTCTCTTGCTGTTAGATCTCAGGGTCCTTTCCTCACATCCCACTGGCATTATTCTCCCACATCTGTTCCTGCCACTTGTGGTGGACATCTGTACCAGTCATTTTTAGTGATTCTCTTTCAGTGCTTTACAGAAGTCCAAATGTTTGTCACAGATAACTTCTATTCTCTTTGCAGTCACTGTTACTGCAATTACAGGTGGAGTGATAATCACTTCCCAACAAGGAGCTGAGGTCATGGAATCCCAAGCCTTTATCTTAGATGTATATGTCCCGTTTGCCCACTTGAACATGCTCTGTATCAACAGTCACTGTCCTTGAAACAAACCCAAGTTTTTAAGTAGCTCTTAATTTCAGATAAGTTTCAGGTTCTCAGAAAGCATGTATTACAAAATCAGGTAACTGTTCCGAAGGCTATTAGATAGACTATAGACAACTTACCCCAACTCTCTGTGAACAGAGACACTAAATTTCTTATTGACCTCTATGATCAGGAGAAATGATGAGTCACTATTACTTCCGAGGCACTGCAGGACTTTAGGGGCCAGAATGATCAGTACCTTCAGTGATGCCAAGATTGTCAGGCTCCCTAATATATGTAAATTTTAAATACATAGATGGTAGGTAGATAGATAGACAGACAGGCACAAGCATATTCAAACAGAAAAAGATATTTGCTAAGGGAACCAGAGACATGTCATCATGCTATTCCACCTCATTCAGGAAGCCTGTCATCTTCTCTCTTCTCAGCTATATTGTCTGAATTTCTCTCACTTTATCCTCATTAAACACACCCTCATAGCCTACCTTCTAAAAACTTCAGGACATAGGCCCTGGTGAGTTTTAAAATGAAGAAGGTAAATCTACTGTGTAGACTCCTGAGGTCTGTGTGATGGTGGTGTTTGTAAGTGCACAACTGGTTTTGTGTTTTGTTTTTGGCTGGGGACATGTGTTAAGCGGAGTCTTTAACGAAGTATTTGTAAAATTCTATCATCACTGCAAGGCTATAATATTTGTCACATTCAGGCCAAGGAAATAATCTTATATTCAATTTGGGGGGATTATGGAATAAATCAGTAATCAGGGTGGTTAATCAGAAATCAGGGTTCCCCATTGGCTCAGCTGGTAAAGAATCTGCCTGCAATGCAGGAGGTATTGAAGATACATATTTGATTCCTGGGTCAGGAAAATTCTGTGGAAAGGGAAATGGCAACCCATTCCAGTATTCTTGCCTGAAAAATTCCATGGACAGAGGAGCCTAGCGGGCTACAGTCCAAAGGGTGGGAAAGAGTCAGAAGTGACTAAGCATGCACAAAGTGTAATAAATCACATAAATGAATCATGAGCTGCAAATTTAAATAGCTGCACACAGCCTTCTCACTTAATCTGTAACCCACACATGTTCCTCTAATAGATTCTTTTTTTAAGTTACATTCTCTTTTTATTGTTGTCATTCAGTTGCTAAGTTGTGTCCAACTCTTTGTGACCCCATGGACTGCAGCAAGCCAGGCTTCCCTGTCCTTCACTATCTCCCACAGTTTCCTCAAACTCATGTCCATTCAGTGATGACATTCAACCATCTCATTCTCTATTGCTCCCTTCTCCTTTTGTTTTCATTCTTTCCCAGCATCAGGGTCTTTTCCAATGAGTCGGCTCTTCCCATCAGGTGGCCAAGTGCTGGAGCTTCAGATTCAGCATCAGTCCTTCCAATGAATAGTCAGGGTTGATTTTCTTTAGGATTGACTCGTTTGATATCCTTGCAGTCCAAGGGACTCTCGATAGTCTTTTCGAGCACCATAGTTCAGAAGCATCAATTCTTAGGCATTCAGCTTTCTTTATGGTTCAACTCTCACATCTGTACATGACTAGTGGAAAACTATAGCTTTGACTACATGGACCTTTGTTGGCAAAGTGATTTCTCTGCTTTTTAATACACTAAGTTTGTCATAACTTTTCTTCCAAGGAGCAAACATCTTTTTTTAGTTTTTGGGTGTGCTGGGTCTTCGTTGCTGCCCAGGCTTTTCTCTAATTGCATCAAGGGAGCGGGGGTACTCCTCATAGCAGTGCAGAGTTTTCTCATTGCAGCGGCTTTTCCTGTTGCTGCACACCAGCTCTAGGGCGCTCAGGCTTCAGTAGTTGCAGTGGGTGCACTCAATCCTGGGCCTTAGAGCAGAGACTCAGCAGTTGTGGCGCACAGGGTTAGTTGCTCTTCCAGCATGTGTGATCTTCCTGAACCACAGATTGAACCGATGTGTCCTGCGTTGACAGGAGGATTTTTTTTTTTTTTTTTTTTTTTTTTTTACCACTGAAGAGGGCTTCTGGAAAGTCCTCTCTAATAGATTTTTAACAGAAAATAGCTCATGTGGCATTTCGTAAATGACTGTCAACTGTTTACTACAAAAAAATTATGTGCCTGTGTAAAACAGTGTTATGTTTTTCAGCTAAAATAATTTAATGTTTTATGGATCAGACGGTGTTTCTCAGAGTTCTGCACATTGACTAACAAGGAGGAGAGGCCCGGGTCCCATCGTGTCCATCTTCCTCAGAGATATCCAATAAGCCTCCTCTATCTTGTCTACTATGGTCCAAGTGATTTTTTTTTCCCCCTTTAAAGTCCCGGCCCAAACTCACTAAAGCTCACAAAATTACTTAAACTCCTCAGTCTGCGTGCATTTCAAGGACTCTTGCATCTACTAGTGTATGTTCACTAGAGTCGACTACATGGACTCTAAATTATCTAAGCACTTAAAGAGATCACTATTGATCTCATTAAGGCTTTCGAAATGCACTTCGGACTCCGCAGAAATTGGCCTTCGCCCCTTTAAAAGGAAGCGAAGCCTATCCGCGACCTAGAAAAACGGGGAGGTCTGTTCTCTGCAGCCCTGGAGATTGCTGGACGCCTTTCCAGGCATTCAAGCAAACACGCCCCTCCTGCCGGCCTGGGTAGCAGCAGGAACTCCATTACCCAGAAAGCCAGGCGTTGAGAGGCAGCTACGATTACCCAATGAACGCTCAGAATTTCAGCATTTCTGTGACATGGTGAGGCGGAACTTCCGGTGTCTTCGCTGTGTTCTTTTCGGTTGTTATCTGGGTCCTAAGGCCGAGTGCGTAAAGTCAGGCTTGAAGTAACAGAGAAGGCGCTAGAAGAGGCTTTGTACCCAGTGACTGGAGGCGGTTCTAGAGTCGGGCACGTCGCCGCCTGCGGGGCGGCCTGGATACTCTGCTGCCGGGTCCGTCCGGGCCAGGATTTACCAGGCCCGGCGGCTCTGTAGCGGCGGTTGCCCTGAGCGACCTGCTTCAGGTAAACAATGTCCTTCCGGCCCGCACCGCCCTCGACCCACCGGACACTAAAGCTCCGAGTGTAGGAAGCCTCCTCACGTGCCCGCAGCCCCGGCCCCGGGATACAGGCGGTGAGGTGGCCTTGGGTGGGGCCCTGTGTCTGACAGACAGTGTAATGGCGCATGGGAGAGGGTGACAGGCTCAGGGACCCCAGGTGCAGAGGCCTGAAGGTCGGACTGAGGCGGGAGGACCGGGAACCCTGGAGCCCATTTGATGTCTGCAGGGAACAGGACACACAGCTGCTGAAAGTCAGTACAGAGGTTAGATGCTCGGCCCCAGGTACTTGGTTCGGGTGCCGCCAGGTGTGCAGGGAAGGCCTGAGCCCCTGGAAAATTGCCAGGATCACACCCTCTAAGACCTACCTCTTCCCACAGGTGTCCATGGCTGCAGAGGTGCTTTTGGAACCTGATCGGGTAAGCGGAGGTTACCCTCATTGGTCGCAACCCTGTGTTAGTCGCTCAATCGTGTCGAACCCTTAGCGATCCCGTGGACTGTAGCCCGCCAGGCTCCTCTGTCCATGGAATTCTCCAGGCAAGAATACCGGAGTGGGTTGCCATTCCCTTCTCCAGGGGATCTTCCCGACCCGGGGATCGAAACCAGATCTCCCGCATCAGAGGCAGAGTCTTTACTGAGCCACCAGGGAAGCCCTCTAATTTTCTCCAAATTTGGGTTGTCATGGAGCTTGTTACCTGGCATTTTCCCAGCCCTTGGGTATGGTATGGAGATCTTGGGAAATCCTAGCTCAGGGTCCTAAGTGCAGTCTAAGTGTTATATGAAAGGGTTCCCATTTCAGGCCACCAATGGAAAGAGATGTGGAAGCTTGTCACAAAAACAGGAAGTGCTTGGAGGTGAGACTAAGCTGGTTCAGGGAACTGCAGGTCTCCTTCCATCCTGGCAAGAACAAACTGGGTGTGGGGAGCAGCAGTCAGACCTGGAATGACTGCCTGTGAAATCAGACATCTGTTCTGGAGGCATTGGGAGGTGTGGATCAGATAACTGATCTGATCAATCAGGGAGGTGATTTCTTCTGGGTCTTTACAGGCTCCACTGGTTGCAGAGTGGACAGCAGCGTGAACAGAGTGGTTAGTGGGAGAGTGAGGAGAGAGCAGACAGCTATGGCACCAAGTTCCAGAATCTTTTCTGAGCTCTTAGGAGGAAGATGGAGATGGGGTAGATGTGCGAGGAGGTGGATTGTGGGTCTTCAGGAGTGAGGCATTTGATGGTCTCTTCTGTCTGTATCCTGGCAGGGCAGCGTGACCTTTGAGGATGTGGCTGTGTACTTCTCCTGGGAGGAATGGGCTCTCCTTGATGAGGCTCAGAGATGCCTGTACCACGATGTGATGCTGGAGAACTTTGCACTTACATCCTCACTGGGTAAGCTCTTCCACCTGCCCCTGTGCCCTGGGCCAAGCTCTGTGCATCTCTTTTCTCCAGGGGCAGGTGTGTCCCTAGTTGCCTGGATTTCTGCTGTGTGTACAAGGGCTGGGCTGAGTGCTCGCCTCCTTCTCATCTGTATCACCACCGCACCTACTGCCCCAAAGCCTCCTAGGGAAGGGTTTGGTATCACTGTTGTTTTGTCAGCCTAATGGACCCCCATGTCTTGCCCTCTGCCTCACTGGGTGACTCTCAGCACCATAGCACCCTAGTATAGCACCCTTCTTTCCTATAGCTCACATTTGTTTCTGACTGTGCTGGAAGTGTAGTCACTTACATAGTCACTGCTTACACAAATGTAAGTACTACTTACAGATCCTTTGGTTATGTTTTTTTTACTTTATTTTTGTTGTCGCAAAATATACAAAACATTTGCCTAATGCCATTTAGTCCATTCTCATTGTGCAGCCATCACAATCCTGCATCCATAGAACTTTCTCATCATCCAACAGAAACTCCATACCCATTAATCAGTAACTCCTACCATCCATTGACAGCCACCATTCTACTTTCTTTATCTATGAATTTGACTGAGTGTCTCATGTAGGTAGAATCAGACAGTAGTTCTCCTTTGATGTTTGGCCTACTTAGCATAATATGTTAAAGGTTTATCTGTGTTGTAGCATGTGTCAGAATTTCCTTCCTTTTTATGACTAAATAATATTGTATGTACAGATTTTGTTTACTCAGTATTCCATCTGTGGACAGTTGGGTGCTTCTGCCTTTTGTTTCTTGTGAATCATGGTGTTATGACATGGGTGTGCAGATTTCTTTTACTGTCCTTGCTTCAATTCTTTTAGGTATATACCCACAACCAGTATTTCTGTATCTGTGATAGTTTTTTTTTTTTTAATTTTTTGAAAAATCACCATAGTGTTTTCCATAGCAGGTGCACAAAGGTACCAATTTCTCCTCTTCTTGCATATACTTCTTTTCTGTTTTTTTGAGTAATAACCATTATAATTAGTGTGAAGTGGTATCTCATTGTGTTTTGATTTGCATTTCTCTAAAGACTAATGATGTTGAGCATCTTTTCATGTGCTTATTTTCTATTTATCTTCTTTGGAGAAATGTCTCTTCAGAAAATCTTTTGAGAATTTTTGAATCAAGTTGATTGATTTTTGTTGTTGAGTTTTAGGAATTCTCTCTATATTTTGAGTGTTAACCCTTCATTGGATATGTGATTTGCAAATATTTTCTCCCATTCTGTCATTTGTCTCGTTCTTATGTTCATGGCATCCTTTGATGTACCAAAATTTTTCATTTTGATGAAGTCCAGTTTGTTTTTCTTTTGTTGCTGTGCCTTTGATGTCATATCCAAGAAATCATTGCCAAATGCAGTTGTCTTGAAACTTTTCCATTATGTTTTCTTTTAAGAGTTTTGTGGTTGTCGCTGTTAAGTTTAGATCTTTTATCCATTTTGAGTTAATTTATGTACCAGACAACTTCATTCTTATGCATGTGGATATTCAGTTTTCCTGGCATCATGTGTTGAAAAGTCTGTTTTTCCTTTTTGAATGGTATTGGCCTTCTTTTTGAAAACTGTTTGAACTTACATGAGCAAGCTTATTTTTGACCTCTTTATTCTTTCATTGATTTATATGTCTGCCTGGATTCCCGTATCACACTGTTTTGATTACTGTAGCTTTACAGTGGTATTTGATATTTAGACATGTGACTCCTTCAACTCTCTTCTTTTTCAAGTTTGTTTTGGCTATTTCGTGTCTCTTGAGATTCCATATGAATTTTAGGATGAATTTTTCTATTACCACAGAAATTCTCACTGGATTTTTTAGAGGATTGCATTGAACTTGTAGATGTTGTGGTTAGTTTGGTTTTTTGGGGGTTTTTTTGGATAGTTTTGACATCTTCAATATTACGTGTTCCAATCCATGAGCATAGAGGTTTCTCCATTTACTGTCTGTAATTCTTTTAGCTATGTTTTGTAATTTTTAATGAACAAATCTTACTTCCTTGGTTAAATTTGATAATTTGTTCTTTTGACGAATACTTTTATCTGTGGAATTGTTTTCTTAGTTTCCTGTTGACTGTTAGTGTATAGAAATATAACTGATTTTTTTTTCCATTTTATATTCTCTTTCTTTGATAACTTGATTTATTCTAACAGTTTTGTGGTGGAATTCTTAAGATTTCGTGAGATGTGGAGATTTCTTACTTCCTTCTTTTCTCTTTTGGATGACTTTTGTCTTTCTTGCCTAATTGGTCTGTCTAGAATTTCTAATAGTATGTTGAATAGTAGTGTTGGAAGCTGGCATTCTTTTCTTATTTGTGATCTTGGAAAAATAGTTTTCAGTCTTTTACTATTGAGTTTAATGTTTGCTGTGGGTTTTTAATTTTTTGCTTCCATTATGTTAAGCTAGTTTCCTCCTAGTCATAGTTTCATAGTTGAGTATTTTCATCATAAAATGGTGTTGAATTTTGTCAGGTGTGTTTTGTTCATTGACTGAGGTGATAATATTTTTTTCCTTTCTGTTAAAGTGATATATTACATTGATCAAACTTTGTATGTTGAATCATCCTGGCATTCTAGATATAAATCCCAGTTGTTTGTGGCAAACATCTTTTTATTATGCTGCTGAATACAGTTTGCTAGTATTTTATTGATTAATTTTCACTGATAATCATCAAATATATTCCCCTGTAGGTTCTTTTAGTCTTTGTGTGTCTTTTTTTTAAATATCAGAGTAATAGTAAAGCTCCAAATGACATAAATTAAAGCAATTTTGCATTACAAAGTGGTTACATCAGACTGATTCTACCACTGTAGTTGTTGTCCAGGTGGGAAAACACCTGGTTTTACTACTCTGCCATCTTCCTGCTTACTTACTCCTGCATCTTACTACTCTGCCATCTTTACTACTCTGACACTCTTTTGTTGTATCCATAGGTACTATTTGTAATATTTGAAATATGTTTGCTGTGATCTGTTGTGTCCTGAGTTTTCTGGGCTAGTATTGGCTACTGACTTGTCCTGTCCTTCCCTTTGGAGTTGTATCATCCAGCTCTCATGCAGTAGCTCAACTGGGGCTAGAGAAAGAGTCTTTTGTGCTTCCCTGAAGGCATATGACTCCACTCTCCACAAGATGGGCCCAGAGGGGACCTGACACAGAGGAATAGCAGATGGGAGAGGACATGACTTCAGGGCTGGGTTGAAGTCATATCAAGAATCTCTCTTGTTTTACTTCTGTTTTGGTGCCATTGCCAGTGGCCAAGCTCATCTCCATCTTTCCTTCTCCATTCTTGACACTTTACTGACTTGTCATTTCTGTTAGTTGTTTTTATTCTGACTCCAGCTGAGAGCTACTGTCCACCTCTCTGGACTGCTTACCTTACTCATTCCTCACACTCTTCCCTCCTCAGCGCTTTCCCCTTTTGTAGTGTTCCTACAACGGTATGCACCTATCTAATAATCCTTAAACACCTGTTAACCTCTGTTCCAGTCAGATTTTTCTGGACCTGAAATAGAGTTCTGCACAGCATCACATGTCATCAGCAGATATAATCCTACTAAAAGCTATTGACATGCCCTCCCTTGGTCCAGTGGTTAAGACTCTGTGCTTCCTCTGCAGGGGGCACTGATTCAATCCCTGCATCCCACATGCCAAGTGTCATGGCCAAAAAAAATAAGGCCATTGACAGAGAATGATCTGTAGCACGTGCCTTTCCCCCTGGGCCTTTCTTTGTGTCCTGTGCCTATTGAGGCCTGCACCGTTCTTTGACCTCAGGGACTGAGTGGTGCACAGAAGTTGCTTTCTTAAGGTGACCCCAACTTCCTTTTCCTGAAAACAGTTTCATGGACTGATTCTTTGATGTATCAAGTTACATTTGTGATGCCTTCTCAGAAAGGTTAACGTGTACTTCACCATCACTTCTTTAATTTCAGGCTGTTGGCATGGAGTAGAAGATAAGGGAGCACCTTCTGAAAAAAGCATTTCTGTAGAAGGAGTGTCACAGATCAAGACTCTCAAGGCAGATTCATCTCCCCAGAAGGACCAGCCCTTTGAGACGTCTGGCCCGGTCTTGAGAGATAATTTTCACTTGCCTGAGCATCAGGAAGCACATCTTGGGCAGAAACCATACACGCGTGGGAATCGATTCTATATCTCTGCCAACCTTCAGCAATACCAGGGACAACACATTAGAGAGATACCCATCAGAACTTCTGTGGACACAGCCTTGATTATAAAGAGCTGTGAAACCCATGTGTCAGGGGAATCCTTTTTGTCTGAGGGAATAAGGAAAGACGACTTACACAGCATGGGATTTTCCCATCAACTGGTCACTCACACTAATGAGAACCTAAACAACAATAATGAGTGTGAGGCTGTCTTTCATGGTAGGGAAAGGCATCGGAACTGGGGAGAAGGCAACAAAGCCCTCAACTGCACAGACACACTTGTTGAGGACCAACGAGTCCTCACTAGAGAAGGGCTTTATGAGTGCAGCAAATGTGGAAAAACCTCTACCCGAAGGTGGAATCTGATTCAGCACCAGAAAGTCCACACTGGAGAAAGGCCTTATGAATGCCATGAATGTGGAAAATCCTTTACCCGAAGCAACAGCCTGAAGACCCACAGGAAAATTCACACTGGAGAAAAACCTTATGTGTACAAAGAATGTGGAAAATCTTTTAGTCAAAGATCCAACTTTGTTCAACATCAGAAAGGTCTCTGTAGAGAACGGCTTCATCAGTGTGGTGAATGCGGAAAATCCTTTAGCCGAAGCTCCACCCTCATTCATCACAGGAGACTTCATACTGGAGAAAGACCTTATGAGTGCAGTAAATGTGGGAAATCCTTTAAACAAAGCTCTAGCCTCAGTTCACATCAGAAAATCCACACAGGAGAAAGGCCTTATGAGTGTAGGGAATGTGGAAAATCCTTTAGCTGCAAATCTAACCTCATTATCCACCTGAGAGTTCACACTGGAGAGAGGCCTTATAAGTGTCAGGAATGTGCAAAATCCTTTAGCTGCAAATCTAACCTCATTAACCACCTGAGAGTTCACTCTGGAGAAAGGCCTTATGATTGTGCAGAATGTGGACAATCTTTTACTCAAAGATCCATCCTCATTCAACATCAGAGAATACATACTGGAGAGAGGCCTTATGAATGTCATGAATGTGGGAAATCTTTTAGCCGAAAATTTAGCCTCATTTACCACCGGAAAGGTCACACTGGAGAACGGCCTCATCAGAGAAAAGAAAGTGGGAAATCTTTAATTGCAAATCTAACCTCAATGAACACCTGAATATTCACACTGGAGAAAGATTTCATGAGTCTGGGGACAGTGGGAAATCCTTTAGCCGAAGTTCCAGCCTCATTCAGCATTAGAGAGTTCACAGTGAAAAATATCTTAAGAGTGCAGTGAATGTGGGCAATCTGTTAGCTGCTAATACGGCCTCATTCAATACTAGAGACTTCACACTGGTGAAAGGCCTTAGATGTGCCAGCAGATGCAGTCTAGTATAATTACACTGGAGGAAATAAGTTGTGAGGGAGCCATCTGCCTGAATTAAAACTCATATATCAGAAAATCTTGAGTAGGGGCATTCCCCTCAAGTTCCAGGTATGTGAGAATCTCTTAGGAGTTGTGTTACAGTTTCTTACCTCCCAGGACCCTCACCAGCTTTATGTCACTGCCAGTTCTATGGCAGAATTCATTTCATCTCTATCACCTGGCAGGTCCACAGTGTGCAAAAATCACCTCCTGACATGCTTAGGTAAGCTGACCTCTGTCCCATCCCCTTTGTGGATGGAAGTAATGAGTAGTCTTAGCTCTTTTGGCATCCTCTTTCCCTTCTCGTTTCCACAGTAGGGCATGAACCTCATTCAGTTTGGGCCCAGTGGACCCAATCTGAATTCTGTTGGTGACTTGACAGAAAGGCCTGCATTTTCAGGGACATGTTAGTTTCTAGTGATACTTCTCTTGGATTTTTCTCAGCCTCTAAATCTGGAGGAACCAAGCTGGGAACTGCATGCCTCATATTACTTTGCACTTTGCAATAATAAAGGCATTAATATTAAGCCCCCTTTGGTCTGGGGATTCTATTCACTGTGTGAGGTGATCTGAAGACAGCTAGGCTATACCAGCATTGAGGGTGGCACAGATTTCACGGGGGTCAGGTACATTGTTTGCCTCACACGTCAGTATGAATGAAGCATATAGCTGTCTTTCTGGTTTTGGCACATTGTTCTCCAAAGACTGCAGAGCTTTGGGGTCCTGATTTGTGGACTGTGTATCAGGACTTTTTGTGGGCTCAGAAAACACCCTGGGAAGCCAGGAAGTTGTGACAACTTCTAGTACTTGTGGGAACATGAATTGTTATTCAGAGTGACTATCACATAATGCTTAGCAGTTAACCTGTGAAAGAACCACATCCCTGATCCCCAGAGTTCACTAGATAGTGCCACTGTAAGACTACAGGGCTGGGGGGAAGCTTCTTGGTAAAGTACCTGGAGCAGAGGAGACTGCAGTGAAGTAGGTGGTGTGTGCCCCTTCTCCAGCTGTGTCAACAGATGCTCCAGTGACTGTGCAGTATCAATGTGCACAGGTGCCCAGAAATTCCCGACCTCCAGTCGTGTGTCTGTGACTGAGGTCATTGTCAGAGAAAATAAGCTATTGGTTTTCTGGACTCCTATATCCTCTCTGGGATGTTCAGCCAAAGCCCCTTGCCACAAAGGCAGAGAAACAGAGAGAAAGGAGAACACTTAGTCCACAGTGTGGCTCTGTGACCAGCCAGCATTCCTGTTAACTCTGGTGGGAAGGGATCTATTACTCATCAGTATTTGCTACCACTAAGGCAAGGCTGCTCCTCCAAGGTCATCAGGAAAGAGAGGCAATATAGGATTGCCAAGCCTGATTTTCTGAAAAGAGTGGGATATCTATGTTTTGCTTTTGAACCATTTTATAAATTTTTATTCTAGTCATCATGCAGTATTTTGTGTCTATTTGAAATATGCAATTTAAAATTTACATGTAAACCAAGAAAACCTCATCATAATCACAATAATGTAAGTTTCAGCCATCATTGATTTACCTTCCAATAGATTATTTTGTGTGTTCTAGATTTATATCTGATTTTATTCTTAAAATGTTTAATTTTTTAAATTTTATTCATGGTTCATAATTATTTTGAGATTCTTCAATTATTTATATAAAAATAGTTAATTCTTTTTATTGCTGAACTAGGTATCTTTTCTATACTTATTCCATTTATTTATTCATTCATCTGGTTAAGAGAATTTGGGTTACTTCCAGTTTTGGCTATTCTAAATAAAGTTGATAGAACAGTTTTATGTACTTTTGTATATATGTATTTTCACTTGTCTTGTGTTAATAACTCAAAGTATAATATCTGAGTCAGAATAGGTGAATGTTTAACTTACAAAATGGCTAAATGGTGACCTTAAATCATTGTTTGCTTTTATATACCCACCAGGTTTTATGTAAAATGCCTTCACATTTTTGCTGGTACTTGATATGGTCAGTCTTTTGAATTTACCCTTTCAGTAAGGAAACACTAATTTTAGTTACATCTTAAGGATTCATGGTGTTGAACATTTTTTTTTAATGTGTTTCTTTGCCATCTGTATATCTTCTTGGTGAAATATCTGTATATATCTATACTTGTTTTATTTTTTTTCTCGTTTTACTTTTAATATTGTGATTATTTACCTTTTTATTAACAAGTAATCAGCTCACTTTTGTTCCTTAATTTTTATGCATTCTGTACAATATAATTACCACATTCACCATATACTTATATAAGTTTAATCTGCATTGTTTATATATTCTTAAGCCTAGGCTTTCAAAACATATTAAGTCTTGGTTTGTAGTGTTTTCCAATTTCCCTTGTGTAAATACTCTCACTTTGGCCAATTTCAAACTGCCAACATGGTTTCACCGAACATGGAGTTGGGAAGAGTTGCTAGAAATCCATCATTCTAACTCCAGGAACTACAATAATTTGTAGGACTCAGATAATAGTAAAACAGTAAAATTATTAGGAGGTGACAAGTTTTGAATAGTTGTTTCATGAAAGTATAATTGACTGAACATTACATACTGCATGTGTTTAAGATGTACATTTTGATGTTTTGATACACACTTAAAACCCCCCTGAAACCAAAATATTCATTGGAAACAAAAGACCATCTACTGATATATTAATGACACTTATTCAGTTAATATTAGTGACACTCAGTTAAATTATTCAGTTTACTATCTCAGTTATTCAAGAAGAAAAAAGCAGAGCATGCAGGATATTTCAGGTACAGGCAATTGTTGAGGGAAAAAAAACAAAAAAACAAAACTTTGAAATTGTAAAGTAATTAGCCTCCAACTAATAAAAATAAATGGGAAAAAAAAGAAGTTTACAAAAGAAAAAAAAAACTTTGAAATTGTTTTTCACACAAGGGATCAGAAAGAATGCTTATTGGGAATTCCCTGGCAGTCTAGTGGTTGGAGCTCCACACCTCCATTGCAGGGGACACAGGTTCCATCTTTGGTTGGGGAATTAAGATCCTGAATGCTGTGCAGTGCAGGCAAAAAAGGAAAATGCATATTAAAAGTTGAGATGCAAAACAAAAAAGAAGTTGAGATGCAATTTTCTAGCATTTTATTTTGGAGTCAAAACCATACTGTTAAAAAATAAAAAAATTAAAAAAACACCCATACTGTTTCCAGTATGAATCCTTTGATAATTTGTGTCTGTGTTCTTGTGAGGGAAAAGCCCTGAGTAATCCACCATAATTCAGAATAATTGGGGTTCTATAAAGTGATTGGGGAATTTCGGTATATTTAGAAGCAATCAGAGGGAGCATGAAAGTGAAAGTGAAGTCGCTCAGTCGTGTCTGACTCTTTGTGACCCCACGGACTGTAGCCCACCAGGCTCCTCTGTCCATAGGATTTTCCAGGCAAGAATACTGGAGTGGGTTGCCATTTCCTTCTCCAGGGGATCTTCCAAACCCAGGGATTGAACCCAGGTCTCCTGCATTATAGGCAGATGGTTTTACCGTCTGAGCCACCAAGAGGGAGCGTAGTTATAATTTAAAGTGTTTTTAGCTCTAGACATTCTCAATACTATCACCCATACTTAACAGAGGAGCAAATTTTAGGCCCTAATTTCTGAAGTTATCCAGTGCATATAGACTAGGATTTATTGAAGACTGTCTCTCTCTCTCTCTCACATATCAATTGTCTATATTTGGTAGATATTGTAATCACAAATATAATTAGTGCTAATGTTGTGGGAAGAAAATAGTTGCCTATTTCAGGGCTGGGTCTTGAAGGGCATGTCTCACAAGCTACAACCATGCAGCTGTATGCAGGCATCTGTGTGTGCTAAGTCACTTCAGTTGTGTCCCATTCTTTGGGACCCTGTGGGCTGTAGCTCACCAGGTTGCTATGTCCATGGAATTCTCCATGCAAGTGGGCAGCTGCCGTGCTTTTCTCCATGGGGTCTTCCCAATCTGGATTGAACCTGCAACTCTTCTGTCTCCTGCATTGGCAGGCAAGTTCTTTACCATCTTCTGGCAGAGGCTAAAATAGCATGATGGAAATAAATCCGACAGCCAGGAGGTCAGATCCAGAGAGGGAAAACAGATGCCACTGTAAGTGAATCCAAATGTCACTGAAAGGATTCACAACAATAATTGATTCATTTCATACTTATACAGATGGGAAGGAAAATATTTGTGTTAGATTTATCCTCATCTGTGTTTACATGATCTTTTCCAAATAATTTTAAGCACAAAACAGCAAAAGGAATTAGTAGACAAAAGTAACACAATTTGGTCAATTACATGAGAAAAGACCAGAAATCATCTGGAAGACATAACAAAAAATTATCTTTTATATAAAAATGAGGTTCATTAGCATAAAGTGAGAAGTAACCAATTTTGTTTACATCTGAGACACCACCATAGATGTTAAATATCCTGGGAGGGTTGGCATCTTATGGTGGATTACAATACATTGATCCCGTCCATTGAGGCCCCTATACCTCATGTAACTCAAATGAACATGCCATTCAGTCTTTATAGGTCAATACTTTACTGTTATATGTATTGTTTAGTCACTCAGTCATGTCCAACTCTTTGGCAACCCCGTAAATGTAGCCTGCCAGGCTCCTCTGTCCATGGGATTTCCCAGGCAAAAATACTGGAGTGGGTTGCCATTTCCTTTTCCAGAGGATCTTCCCAA